ACTTGAGGGAGAATCAAGTTAACAGAGATTCAAAGTAAGCTCTGAGTTTTAGGTTCTGCAGATTGTGTCCTAAATTCAGGCATGATTGTAATTTCAGCCAAAATATGTTGAGTGTTGTAGCTGCAGTTCAGGTGCATTGCTGCCCTCAAAGGGTTAGCTGTTAAAATTACATAGCTATTCAATTGCAACCTCTCTTCTGTGGCTTCTGGTTTAATCAAATTTGCCGACTGTTTCATGAGTTTACTCGCATTTGGCCAGTGGTGGGAGGTAATTTCCACCCTTGGCTCTACAGTTAAGTCTCATTTAATGTTCTGTTCTTGAAATAAAAGACCGATTTATCAATATGCTTAAAATCATTCTTGCAGCAGTCGGCTGAGCTCATGTGAAAGAAATCTCTGCCAAAGGACTTTGAAGTACTTCAGCTATTCAGAGCATTTAGCCTCCCTCAGTGAATGCCATTGAATTAATGTACTTAGGTTGGAGCGACTTCTTGAGAAAAATTCCCCGTGATAAATAGAAACTCATCACAGATGATCATGCAACTAGTCCTGGCTTAATGAGATAATCCTGAACATGCATTCCTCTCAATAATAGATCCATCTTGATGTCAGGCTCAGTCTTGGTTTCTTGACTCTCTGCAGTTATCTGGAATGGCCTGATGTTACTGCTGCAACTGGCTGATACCGCACAGCTCATTTATATTTCAGAGAAGGCTCTGTTGGCTCAGAGTTTGTGTGTTAGACAGAGAGAGAGATGGTTTCAATGGACAACTTCTGCTTTAATTAATCTTTTTACTTTTTGGGTGCTGGCCATCTGAGGTTAAAGAAAAACAGTGAGGGATGAGGCGGTGTGCAAGGTGGTGCATTAGATTGCTTATATGGGTCCCGGACATTTTCATTAGGATTCAAGGACCCTGGGAGGATCATTAAATTTCACACCTATAGATCAAACTTTCACATGAAATGTTGAGGCTTAGTTTCAGCATAGTTTGAGGTGAAAGCAGTAAAAAATATATTAACAGACAACAAAAATTGGTGGATGGTTGACAGTTTGTTGCTGGGTGTTTTGGACTGGCAGGGAGACTTTAAAAATGGTCTCTCAAGGAAACCCTGAAGCTGTGTTTATAACTTCAACCGACTACTGAATGTAGAGAAAAGGTTCAGGCCATCTAAGTGTTCAGGCCACCTGAAAAGAGAAACTAAGGCTGAGCTTTAAAGGAAGTCTGGTCAGCAAGAAATAACCAATGGATCATTATCTATACCTAAAACTCATACGTTTGTGGTGATTTAATGAATTTAGGGTTAATCAGTAAAAAAAAACAAAAAACAATAATTTTCATCGAGTCTGGGGGCGGCCATTTTTGCCAAAATATAGTAACAGTTCACTCCTGACATCTTTCGGCAGTGACGTCACGCCGCAGTAAGCCTAGCACACAACAATTATTTAAGACTTCCAGAGGACTCCATCATTGAAATTCACAAGAGCTACAGTTATACTAACAATGCCCACGTGCATGGCAGTTGGATGTTGTAATACATTGGGTAAAAGTGAAAAAATATTCGCTTTTTTAATTTTCATGATCCACCACAGACGGGTTCGTCGTTGGATTGCTAACTTGAAGTTGGAGGATTTTCCATCGTACTTCTAGCCAGAGAAAAAACACGTAATATGTAGCTAACATTTGGAAGAAGAATGTTTCCAAGATGACTTGGATAATAGCCCTTTGTGACAAACACCAGATGCAGCACTGGGACTTGATCAACAGCCGATACCGAGAAGCCGAGAAGTTTGAATTCTGAATATGATCGGAGTTCTCCTTTAAAGGGCGTCATTTACAACAGCCAGATCAGTTTCATCTTCTATCTATTTCCCCCTTTACCAACAGCTTCTTTATGGTCGCGTACAACCCCACTCAGCTCGTTTCTACGTTTTTCCAAGTCAGTGATAGTTTTTTTGGGACCTGCAACAATATTTCTGAACAATTGCTGGTTATGGGTCAACCAGCTATACGATGATGGGAGCTGAATAGGATGGAATGATAGAAGTTGACAGTCCATGAATATTACTAAACATGCACTGCTAAAAACCTCAGGGCAACTTAAACACTATTAAAAGACCAGGATGGCTGTCAATAGAGTCATAGGTTACTGGAAAGAGAGAATATCATTTTAATATTTATGATTAAAAAAAACATGTCTTCTACTCTTTATTTGGTCTTTATAGCAATATTATTTAGAACCTAGACACAATTTTGATTTTGTTGAACAAATGCATGAATAGGGGGTTTTGGTTTAATGGGCTTCAATGTCAGCTGTTTGGTGGAGTTGTTAGGAATTCATCATTTCACTTGGTTCTGTTTGTTAGCAGATCAGGGTAGTGGTATTTTTGGAGGCTGCTATTATGCTTGTTTGTTTGAGGCTTTGCAGGAATCTGTGGGAGGTGAACAATATGATGGTGGTAGGTTATTGCCTCCACAGGTTAGGTGAGGTAGGTAAGTTCTAGTCAACACACTTATCAAATTAACTTTCAAATATGTTATTGTAGAAAATCTTTTCTACAAGTGAAAGACACTGAAAATAACTTTCAAGCAAGTTAATCCTGAAAGAAAAACATAAAGATAACAAAAGAAAACCTAAGCTGCCATCACTGGAGCTGCCGTCTCTTGTTGTTATGAAAGCCCATGTCTATAAAGTTGTCTACAAAGGTTTAACTTGTAAGCCAGATTTGCAATAAGGAAGAAAAAAAAAAAAAACACAACTGAGACCAAAGAAAAGGCAACAGAAAATCCGAAACTCTGAAAATTTGTTAAATAAAATGAGTCTAAAGTGGAGTTTTCAGAGATATTTCTAGCATTAAATATATATGCATGAGCAGGTAAACATAAATTTTGTAGAAAATTAAATGTCTACTTTTGAATTAACTACGGTAATACTGCAGTTTTTAAACACAAAGCAAGTGTAATGCCTGGTCCAAACATTGGCACCTGCCAAACACAAACATACAGACAAAAAGTTGTGGCCCCAGGGCCATAACTACCAATGACGACAGCAAGGTCATGTCCTCGATATTTTTTTTATTAATATTTTGCCTAAATTGTGATATATAAACTCTAAAAATAAATAATACTGAAACTGAATGGAGGACGACAATCTAGGTCTCCCACAAAACTGGGAGGTGCTTCATGTTTGAAGAGCCAAGAGTACTAATAAAAACAGAAAAAAGAAGCTTGAGGGTTTGGGCGTACGTGTTGCACACCGTCAACACTCACTGTCGTTATGGTAACTGCCAAAAAGGCTGCAGATGTCATTAGTGAATCTGTCAGTCACAGCAGTCCCTGGAATAGGAGCATATAGAGCTACTAGTGCAGGTGGAGAGTTTAAGTTGGCGTTCACTTTGAGAAAAACGGCATTGTAATGAGGAAATATTTCAGCCCAGCGATCTACTCAGACAGCAAGGGAACATCGAATCAAAGTTTATTTAACTCTCTTTGTAACAGTCGTCAGTCAATTTCCAGCAGCTTAATCAACATTCATTATGCATCTGATATATTAGCAACGTCTTGAACTGAAAATAAAATGTTTATTCTGCAATGGTTTCTCAGTGGATGTTAAACTGTTTTATATTTCTGCTGGAAGCCAGAACTCAATGCATAAAGATGGTAGAGAGCAGAGCAGATGGTACGCGCGGGACAGGAAATCGCGCGCAGAAACAAAACAGAAAATCTGGCTGATTTTCAAAACAATAATACATTACCGTGTTAACTTGCCCTTACTTCAAGAGTCACCATAATGGTCCCTCAAAAAGCCTCAGAATGCTGCATTTTTATTTACTCTTGTAAAGTTGTAGACTACTATACTTATTTATTTCATATAATCGCTTAAAAGTGCATATTTTATCTTGTTTATTTAATTTCTATACTTCAAATTATTTATGTTATTTTTGTTTTTGAGTTGCTCTGGAACCTGAAAAACTACTTTCATTTCATTACATATTAATGTGTTGAAATGACTATTCAATTCAGTTTATTTATATATCGCCATTTCACAACTCATATCATCTCATATCATCTCACGGCACCTTACAGTTCACCACTATTCAGTGTTAAAAGATGAAATATCATGTTGAAATGGTACATTTCTTTCATTTCTATTATTTCAGTACAGGATAGGGAGGTAAAGGCCGATTCAAACCGAATTCCTCTTTGGGCCGAGCAGCAAGAAGAGCAATGAGGACAGAGATAGAGGCAGAACAGGTAGTAGAAAAGGAAGATACTGTTCCAGAACTGAATGTTTTAAAAGTCAAATTTGTATTGCATGGTACTTGAAGTATTGTGGAAGATTATAATAGGAATAGGTCCAAAAGCTTTCCATAACAAGAGTGAACAGATTAGGGACTATTATCAGCATAGTAGTATAATAGGATCTGGGTGTCCATTTATATAGTAGTAAACAAAAAGCAACTCATTTAAATTACACTGGAATGCCTTTTGTGATGCATTTTTAGCCAGTTATAGATAGAAGCTTCAAAACAAAGGTGACAAAAATCAAGTTTACAAGTTTATAATACCTGAAATATCTGACATGGAAAGAGGAACAGAGGAATGCACTGCCTAGCCAATTCAAAAGTCATAAAAAATGTTGCTTTTGCTCCTTAAGACTCTGAAAATGACCAGATTTAAACAATGGAATTAAAAGCATTATTTGGGGAACCGCCACTGAACCTACCTAGAAGTGACTCTTGACCTCAGTCTTTTTTGGGCCCTGCGTACGGCCCTGTGTGGCCCCAATTACATAGTTAAATCCACAAATAAAATGGATTATAAGTTTTCACATTATAACTTTTTCAATTGTGTTATTTGCATAAATTAATATAAGCAAACTAAGAATACAGTGTCCATAAGGTGCAAGAACATGTATCACACATTATAAAAAAAAAAAAACATATACTGATGTAAATCCCTTCTTGTTCAAACTGCATCCGCACAAAAAAGCAATATTTACCTTGAATGGTAAAAAGAGGGAATTGACCGCTGAAAGAAGACTTGCTGTGTCTGGAGAGTTTCTTTGACTACAGACCACAATCTGAAAAATAAAAGGAAGACTGTAAAAACAAAGATGAAGCAAGATGGAAGTGCATAAAAAGAGTGAAATAAGAGGGTAAAATGTGACATCAAAGGAAGGGAGATGGTACAGGTAGGGCCTTTGTGGCAGTAATGATGGTTGCAGGTGTTTTCTCTAGAACTTCCTCAATATTTGCTTATTACCTTTATGCCACCAACCTGAATCATCCTCTGGAGGTCAGGTATGACAGACAGGGAGCATCCCCAACACTGTCAGACCTTGTTATTCCTATTTATTTTCCTTTGGATGTGTTTCTCATCCCTTTGGCTCAACAGCCGTGTCTCCCCCTGTGGCTGAGTTATGTTGTTCTGTTGGCATCCTGGTTTCAATGGTTTCAGGCTAAACTAAGGACATAAATATTTAATTGCTTGATTATATAACCCAGCTTGAACAAGTTCTGTCACCCACTAGATGTACAGGGGCAATGAAAAGATCTAAGAAAGGTTTTTAGATTCTGTGCCCAATGATTAAATAAGCATTCCAGTACAAAGTTGTGTCCTCAGACAACCTAGTAAAGTACAAATGAGGCAGAAAAATGTGATTCCCTTTTGTACTTTGTAAATCACAAGAACAGGAAATTCCTAAACATCTGTTGAGTGTGGTGTTTGCAGCAAAAAGCAACTGCTCTTTTAGTTGTGTTTTCTTTCTAGGAAAAGTCCTGATGATGTGCCTTTTAGATGAAGGAATCGCTTTGAATCTACTTCAACCCAAACTGTGGCCTCTCTTCTCTTCACTGAACTGGAAGTTTTTCAAACACTGAGAGATTCTTAAAACATTCATGTGACCACCTGTTATTGCTTTGTCTTAAAGGTACACTATGCAACCGGTGTTGATTTTCCAGCGAGGCTCCCCCCAGAGGGCGAAAGTAAAAGTGCACTGTCGTAAATATGCACAGCTGTTCTCCTGGTTTCTCCGTCAAGCCAGGCGCGGTTGTTTTGAGCTTAGCAGACAGGCGAACGCAACGAATGCACACACTGGACGCAGCTGGCGCGACAGAAGCAGCAAGTTTACATGCAAAGTCAATGGTTGACGCACGTCAAGGCGCAGCAAAAGGTCCCGCGGCGCGTTTTGAGCAGCAGGCGCAGCGCGTCGGCCGCGTTTAATCATCTGACGCAGGGAGAGAGACACAGCGCTGATGATCTCTCCTCTTAAATAGTCAAAAAGGAAGCAGCAGACGCGATTTTGCGATGTGAACTTAACTGCACAAAGATCGCCACTGTGCTAGCAACGAGCATGCTTTTAACTGGGGGCGTGTAGCAGTTCTCGCCGTAAAGCAAGACTGACTCTCACGAGACTTCTGAGCCTGTGGGTACGGGTCGGTGCTCCTGCAGTTGCAAGTGCGGTTTTTCCCCCACAGACCACCAGGGTGGCCGAGAATAGCTTTGTTCAACCTGAAATGACTCATTTAATCATCCAAAACGTTATGGAACACATTAATTAACTGAAAAATGTTGCATAGTGTGCCTTTAAAGCAATCACCGTTTAATTGGCAAAAATGAACCTTGAAATGTAAAAAAGACATTTGAAACCAAAATAAACTAAATTCTAAAGAAATGTTAATACTGTTTTGAGTAGAAGAATGTAATTCTCTTTATTATTATGAAAATAGTAAATAGTTTTAGTACTTTTCCAGATATAGTTTTAATAAACTGAATTTTTATGCCTTGCAACTATGGCTTATATAAATATGTTTACTTAACCAGCATTGGTTGATCTCCTGGTACTCCAGGGAACACAATCAGCAGTAGATTGAGGGATTTATCTCCTCCATTTTTCATCTTTTTTCCCTTTTCCTGTTTTTTCTTTCCTGTTCTACTTACATTGCAGTGTCCATATAACCTGCAATACACCTTGCATAATTATAATAAAGCTATTTACATGCATAAATCAAGCGAAACACTATGTCAATATCGGTACTGCTCCACTTTTAAAATTAAAATCTATTGGGCTCTTTTTTGGCATCAAGACAATTATCCTTATTGCCACATTACCAGACAGGACACTGGAAAAAAAAAAAAAAAAGATTGAGTGATGTGGCTTTTAGCCAAATCAAATAACATGCACTTAATTATTGGACATAATGAAGATGAATGAGGAGGTTTTTCTGTTAAACAGAGATTAATAAAAGATATTAACCCAGACAGCCGGCAGATCTGGACCTCATTAAAAGTCGCCAGGTCCACATGACAGCCAGAGTTGGTGTTTGGATGCTGAGCTGGGATCATTAATCCCCCTTAAAACATTCAATAAGGCATGTCTGAGCCAATCCAAGACCGTAGCCTAATTTGGTCTGTGTTCTTTTATTATTTATGAACTGACAGGAGTGAAAGTTCAGCAGCAATTGCGCTCAACGGCAAGGGTGTAACTTTGTGTTGAAAGTTGGTGGGGACGGCTCATAAGGAAAGGGAGCTACCTGCGCGACGCCTTTTTTTTTGTTGGAAAGGATAAAGCCAAAAAAATGTGAATAACATTTATCAATTTAATGCTTACAGTTGAAAACATAACTGTTACAATATTCACTTATATATTTTGTGCAAAAAATATCACATAAATCTAAACAGACAGTACAAATCAAAAAAATCAAATAAATATATCAATTTTGTAGAACATTTATTGACGGTCAATTTTAGGTCACTTTTTAAAATTAATTTACTTTTAAACCAGGACTCGGACAAGATCTTATGGGGCCTTAAGCAGAATATGATTAAGGAACTCCGTCTTTCTGTCAAGAACATCCACCAGCAGGGTATCCAGGGGGGGATTTACCATTAGGCAATACTAGGCAGTTGCCTAGTTCCTGGGGGCCCCATAAAACTCTGTTTCCATGTATAGTTAATACAACTAATCCTTATTTGTGCACATTAATTATGTTTTTGATAAAAATCCTTTGGCTAAAATGCCATCAGAACGCTGATAAATAGAGAGGAAAAAGGGACAAGAAGAGAGGGACAAAACCTAGAACAAATAATGGATGTCTATTCTATTAACATTTCTCTATCTGTAGAATGGGTCTGTTTTATGGGTTTTCTTCTCAGGGGGCCCCCTGCCTGTCTTTGCCTAGGGCCCCAAATTTCCTAAATCCGCCCCTGAGGGTATCAATACTGATTTGATAGAATCTGGGAGAGCGGACCATGTTCAACCATCCATTTTCTTTAACCTTATCCCTCAGTGGGATCAGGAGGTGCTGGTGCATATCTCTAGCCACGTTCTGGGTGAGAGGTGGGATCACCCTGGACAGGTCACCAGTCTGTCGCAGTATGTTCAACCAGCTTAAAAGTAATCGGTAATCAGATTTATTATTTGCACTTTTACTAAGTGAACTTTCTAACTCCCTTAAATCTGAAATTCCAATGCCAAAATTGTTTAAATCTTTTATCTTTGGACCCCCTGCAGAGTGACGTCACACCTGCAAGATCCTATCCTTACCTTCCTGCTAGATTGCAAAAAGCAGCTTGCTCATGAGTTGTCAACTTAACACGCTAAATCTTAAATGTACGTGTACATATAAAAGAAAAAGGGGCGCAGTGCTTGCTACTGAATGTCAACACTATGACAAATATATAACAAGGTCAGGAAAAAGTTTTAAGTGAAGCCGGGATTAAAACAGTAGCTACAAGAAGCTTCAAATAAAAGGTGTTCTTTATGTTCAACCTAAACACCAACTCCGATAGACCATCAGTAGAGCAGGTGTTTAAATTAATCAATCACTGCTGCGAAAGCTTATAGCAGTGAAAGCTAATATACCACAGCCATCACTTAATAAACGCAAAATAAACAACCCTCTAAAAACGGAAAACTGTAATGGACTGAAAGTCCTGTTTTTTATGTGGGAAATTATTTGCGTGTGTTTTAGTATAATTCTGATATATTGGCGCTGTTGTCTGTTTCTATGGCAACGATACTGAATGTAGTGTAGCTTAGAGACCTGCACGGGTCGAGTTTTACCAACCCGCACCCGCCCGAACCCGTTAGGATGACTACCGAACCCGACCCGTCACCCGCGGATATCTTCAATTCAAATCCGAACCCGACCCGACCCGTTGATATTTAACCCGCAACCCGACCCGTTAACACATCATAGGCTATTGTACGCTGCGCTGCACCCAGTGCCTGATTAATATAACATTTCTGATGTCCATAACAACACACACGCATAAAAAAAAAATCACCAACTCCCCGCCTGCACTAAAAAAATATCCGCCCGACGCCCGACCCTTTTATTTTTATTTATGTATTTTTCGCGGGTTCCCGACCCGTTGCAGGACTCTAGTGTAGCTGACATAACAGGGCCGGAAAAAAGTGGTTTGAGTTTTTTTTCCAACGGTTCAGTTATATTTTAAATACGGTATTAACTTATTTTTACACTATTCTCTATTCTTTTACTACTTTAAGTCTCTCCTGACTAAAATTAGGTCTTAATATTTCCACAAGTCCCTCTCACCTGCAAGTCTGAGTCCACTGCTGTCCCTGAATGGGTTAGCATTGTTGGAGGGAAGCGACAGGTGTTATGGGGAGAGGGCGGAGGGGGGTGATGGGGAGAAAGCGAGAGGCAACAGATTCTTTTTTCTGAGTTTTTTTGTCGGGGTTTGTGGACGGTGAGCAGCGGGGAGAACTTTTTTTATTTTCTTTCTGAGGAGCGGCATGAATGGGGTTTTAATCAGATATACACAGCACCGAAAGCAAAATACATGTACAAAATATTGGTGGGGACTGTCCCCCTACCGGTCAAGATTGGTGGGGACATGTCCACACCAGTCCTTAAGGAAGTTACGCCTATGCTCCACGGTAGCAAATGTAAAATATGTCATTTTCAAGGACTTTCTGTCCAAGTGTTCCAATAAAAATGGTGGAATAGTGTGTAGACTTTGCACTTTTTTCTTTCATCTTTGAGTAGTTGGTGTGTACTATTAGCCTGGGTGCCATTCCGAACTTAGTCCCGCCCACAAAGTTTGAGGTCGGGG